ACTGACATACATACATACTGACAGACACACATACATTCATAATGGCATACAGATGTAAATACATACATTCAGACTGACATACATACATATATACAGACATTCTGACAGACATCCATACGTTCATACTGACATACATTCATACTGACATACATATATACATATATAATGACATACTTACATAGACATACATGCAGACAGACAGACATACATACATACATACAGACACTGACATACATTCATAATGGCATACAGACATACATACTAGAGGTGCTTCCTGGGGCAGTGGTGCACAGTGTGTAGCACTGAAAGTCAGTGTCTCCACCATCTGCATGGAAGCACTGAACTTTTCTGATAGATTGATGCATTGATTCAATGCATCTCTATGAGGTGATGCTGATTGGCCAGGGAAATGCTTGGCTTGTGCTGGCTCTGCCCTTGATCTGCTTCCTTGACAAGCTCAGCCAACCCAATAGCTCAGATCAACACTTCTGATGAGGTCAGCCAAGAAGGCAGATCAAGGGCAGTGCCAGCAGCAGCTGACTGAAATAAAGGTAGGATTTTACTATATTTAGGGGACAAGGGTGGGCCAGTCAGGCTAGATAGTGTTTTTAACACTACAGGGTGAATGAACTGAAGCAACATTGTAAATAAGAGTGGGACAAAATTCTTCCATAACAATGCGAGAGACTGATAAAATCATACAGAAAATGACTACTTCAAGTTATTGCTGGTTCTACAAGCTATTGAATCGTGAGGTATACTTAGTTTTTCACAAAGGGCTTCTCCATTTTGCCTTTATTTTTGTTAAATAAATCATTAAATGGTGTAATAAGTCATGCATTGTTGTTCATCTGAGGTTGTATTTACCTAATTGTAAGACCTGCTAATGTAGAGAAGATTATTATGTCCTGATATGCAACACCATAGAATTCAAAGAGGGTGTAGTTTATTTTGCCAATAACTGTATACACTCCCCCCAATACAGTCAAAAAAAAAAGTTCACTGTTCACATATGTTCAGTGATGCAACAACTAATTCTTATTTGAAGAGTAGTATACTTAGGGCATTGATAGGCAACCTTTAGCACTCCACATATTGTGGAGTACAACTCCCATAATGCTCTTACATCCATAAAGCTGTCAGCATCAGGGGATGTAATTCACAATATCTGGAGTGACGAAGGTTGCCTACTCTTGCCTAGGGTAAGATTGTAAAACAGTGCATCGCTGACAGTATAATTTATAGCATATATAATTGTGTTTATATATTAAATTTGACCTCTGAATATATTATGATATTTATAGAGCGCCGCCAAATTCCGCAGCGCTTTACAATGGGTGGACGAACAGACATGTAGTTGTAACCAGACAAGTTAGACACACAGGAACAGAGGGGTTGAGGGCCCTGCTCAATGAGCTTACATGCTAGAGGGAGTGGGGTAAAATGACACAAAAAGGTAAGGATAGTTTTAGACTAGTGACAGTTGCAGAAGAGGAATTAGTCAGGAGCTATTAACAGTTTAATTGATACACTTTTATGAAGAAGTGGGTTTTTAACAATTTTTTTGAAGGAGTGGAGACTGGGTGAGCATCTAACGGAGGAGGGAAGTGAGTTCCACAGCCTTGAGAAAAGGTGCAGCCCTCGAGAAATCTTGAAGGCGAGCATCAGAGGTGGGAGTACGGACAGAAGATAGACGTAAGTCTTCAGCAGATCGTAAGGGCATAGACGGGACATACTTGTGTATAAGGAAGAATAGATAGGTGGGAGCAGCATTATGTAGAGATTTGAAATTGAGCTCTATATTTTATAGGAAGCCAATGTGGGGACTGACAGAAGGGTGAGGCATGGGAGGTGCGGGCGGACAGGAAGATGAGCCTCGCCGCCGCATTCATTATGGACTGTAACGGCGCAAGTTGGGAGCATGTAAGACCACTGAGAAGCGGATTACAGTAGTCAAGGCGAGAAAGGACAGTGGAATGGGCCAACACCTTAGTCGCATCTGGCGTTAAGTAGGGGCGGATGCGCGCAATGTTTTTGAGATGGCAATGACAGGATTTGGCGATGATTGAACATGAGGCTTGAAGGAGAGGTCGGAGTCAAAGAGAACATCTAGGCAGCGAGCCTGCGTGGTGGAGCTGATGGTAGCACCGTTGACTTGGAGGGAGACAGACACAGGAGTACCAACACTTGAGGGAGGAAAGACCAGAATTTCAGTTTTGGTCAAGTTTAGTTTAAAGAAGTGGGCAGCCATCTAGTTAGAAACAGCAGAGAGGCAGTCAGAGACACTAATCAAGAGGGACGGGGAGAGGACAGGTAGATTTGCGTGTCATCTGCTTAGAAATGATATTGGAAGCCAAAGGAGCTAATGAGTTTTCCAAGGGAGGCAGTATAGATGGAGAAGAGTAGGGGACCAAGGACTGAACCTTGGGGGACATCAACAGAGAGGAGTTGGGGAGAAGAAGCAGAGCCAGAGAAAAAAAAACACTGAAAGAGCGCTGGGAGAGTTAGGAGGAGCACCAGGAGAGAGCAATATCTTGAAGACCGATATTGCGGAGGATGAGAAGAAGCTGTTGATGATCAACAGTGTCAAAAGCCGCAGACAGGTCAAGGAGAATTAGGATAGAGTAGTGACCACGAGATTTTGCAGCGAGTAGATCATTGGATACTTTGGTCAATGCCGTTTCCACAGAGTGCTTAGCGCGGAAACCAGACTGAAGCGGGTCTAGCAGAGAGTTGGACTCAAGGAAGTCTGTCAATCTCACATACACAATTTTTTCAAGGATCTTGGATGCAAAAGGCAGTAGCGAGATAGGACGATAGTTTGAGGGGGAGTTAGGGTCAAGATTGGGCTTATTTAGAATTGGGGTTACTGTTGCATGTTTGAAGAGCAATGGAAATATACCAGAGGACAGAGAGAGATTGAGAATTTTAGTGAGAGGTGGAGAAAGAGAAGAAGACAGAGTACGGATGACATGTGAGGGAATTTGATCTAGGGAGCAGGTGGTGGGGCGGGAGCACTGGAGCAGAGCAGAAACCTCTTCCTATGTAGCTGGTGCGAATGAACATAGAACAGCAGAGGGAGTGAAGTTAGGGGAAGTATTGTAAGGGGAAGAAGAAAGATGAGAGATCTCTGATTGTAGAGATCTTGTCAGTGAAGTTGCAAAATCTGAGGTGGTCAAGTTAGTAGGTGGAGGAGGAACAGCAGGGCGAAGAAGAGAGTTAAATGTGTGAAATAGTCGTTTGGGTTCGCAGGAGAGTGTGGTTATGAGGGTATTGAAGTAATTAACTTTTGTAGAGGAAAGAGCCAAGCTATAGGAGCTCAGCATAAATTTATAGTGGAGAAAATCGGATGCACAGTGAGACTTTCTCCAACAGCATTCAGCAGCATTTTTGGAGATATCGAGTGAGCTTGGTGTGCCAGGGTTGTTGTTGTTGGGGGGCCCGCGGCGTTTAAATGTACAAGGTGCCATGATGTCTAGTTGAGAGGAGAGGGTGGAATTGTAGAAGGAGGTTGCAGAACTAGGACAGGTGAGGTTTGAGATAGGTAAAAGGAGAGTTTGGAGATTAGTGGAGAAATGCTCTAGGTCAAGATATTGGAGGTTTCTGTGAGTGATGTTCAGACGGTGGTGTCAATTGGGTCTTAGGTATGCCAATGTCAAAAGTAAGCAGATGGTGGTCAGATAGAGGAAAAGGAATATTGGAGAGATTAGAGGCAGTACAGAGGATGGTGAAGGCAAGATCAAGAGTGTTTCCTGCTGTATGGGTTGCTAAATTGGACCGTTGCGTAAGGCCAAAAGAGGAGGTTACAGAGAGCAGACGAGAGGCATCAGTGCAATTGGGGTTATTGATTGGGATATTGAAATCCCCAACTATAAGGGAAGGAGTGCTAGATGAGAGGAAGTAGGGAAGCCAGGAAGAAAAGTGCTCAATGAATAGTCTATGATAACCGGGGGTGGGGGTGGGGCAGAAGATGATAGCAATTCTTAAAGGAGTGGGTTTAAATAGGCAGACAGTGTGAACTTCAAAAGAAGAAAAGGATAGGGCAGGGGGAATTATGGTTGGTTGAAAAGTACATTGAGGGGAGAGAAGGATGCCTACGCCGCCTCCTTTACAGTTGAGTCCGGGAGTGTGAGAATTGTAGCCCTCCAAAACATAAAGAGGCAGGAATAGCGCTATCAGAGGGGGAAAGCCAAGTCTCTGTAAGTGCAAGCAGTGTGAGTGAGTTTGAGATGAAAGTTGTGTATGGTTGTTGATTTTAAAATTGATGCAGATGGAGCAGGCATTCCAGAGTGCACAATTAATTTTGTTAAGTGAGGGTAAAGGGCAGGGTATTGTGATGAGGTTTGTGGGGTTTCTGGTTGTCTTAGTGTGTGTAGAGAAGGTGAAGGGCCCTGGATTGGGAGAGACATCACCAGCTGCTAGAAGTAGGAGGAGAGAAAGTGACAGGAGGTGTGCATGGGGTCTAAGATGAGAGATTGTGGGTTGGAGTGACAGAGTAGAAGAATGAGTGTAAGGCATGAGGTGAGGGGGGGTGTAGCAGAAAAGGGCATATGTAAATGTGGATTGGGGGGGGGGGAATGATGAGTGAAGTGGATGTAAGGAGAGATTTTTTTTACTGAGGGAGACTGAGGAAATAAAGAGGAGGAGAAAACAGATCATTGCTAAACTGTGAAAAATAAAAATTGGAGAAAATTGGAATATCAAGAGCCGGTGAAGGTGTTTTATGGGTTCAGAAAGTGCAGGAGTGTACTAATAAGAGGCAGGTTTTTTTAACCTAACAAATGTAGGTGTGACAATCTATAAATGTAATAATATATCTATAAGTCTCATTACAACAGCGTAAATGAAAATTATGTCGGATCACCCTTATAAGAATACTATAAAATATATTATAGAAGGTGATTTGAGTATATTGATTTTTTTTTTTTGAGGTTTTCAAAACAAATTTTAATGCATTTATAAATATTGTTCTATTAGCTTCACAAAATAAATAGACTATATTTTTAAAGTGCATAATATATCTTTATTGATTAATCTTGAATTACATGCCTTATTTACCAAAGAACAGAAAGAATACCCAAGATCAATACACATTTATATATGCAGAATAATTTAGTAAAATGCAAATATAGGCATCCCATTCAGGCTGAAAATACGACTGCCTTCTCAGGAAAAAGCATACAACCTGAAAAGAGAACAAGAGATCTAAAGTCAGTTAAACAATACAGAAAAAAAAGTATATATATTTTACGTATACATACAGATTTTGAAAAATCCACAAATGCACAAAATCCATAGATACACTGGCTAACACTGATAACCAATAGTCTTCCTTCTATCCCTGCATTACACATGATAAGGGCACATAAGGTATCATCTTGACTGTTACTCTAAATACAAAAAAAACAAAAACCTCTGAAAATATTCATTTTGGACTCTATTTGGTTTCTCGTGCTTCATAATGTTTTCAGCTTGATAGCACATTTTACCTACAAAGAGGAGGGCAGCGCTGGGGGGCTAAATTAGCCACCTCGTAAGCCAACCTCTATATGGGGTGGTGGAAGGAGTCTCGCATCGCTGGAGGTACTTTAGTTCACATGTCAAATATAAGTTTGTATTAAAGCTGCATTGATGATCTGTTGATCATTTGGAGTGGATCTGTCATTCATTTGAATACTGATAATTATATCAGTCTGAAGTTTGCATTTAACAAGCTAGTAAATTAGGTGGACAGCACTAAGAATTATTATAAAATCATACATACACAAGTAGCAGCAGATTTCACAATTATGTGTCTTACTGTTTTCCAGAGCTTAAAATTTTTTTTTTTTTTTTTAAGGAGCCTGGACGGAACAATCCCCCATCTAAGGATTTATTTTTGCTGGTATCAGATTCCCAAGTAAGTGTGGTTCATCATATGAAAAAAATAAGGATGTATACCAATGGTACAGTACGTATATAAAAGTAAATATTTGACCTACTTACATTTGCTAGAGCAATGACCTGCTCTAGTGTATGGAGCTTTAGGTGGAACAATCCCCACCTAGGGATATATGTAGATCCGGAAGAGCAGAGTGATGGTGAGAGCATAAGGAGCTCAAGAGTGACTGGGTATTAAAATAGAATCTTAATTAATAAACAGAATGAATAAAACTATTTAAAAGTGAACTATATAGTAAAAAGAACTATAAATAAAACCAGTCCTTGTAGGCAATCCTTAATCTCCACTTGACATGTTTCACTTACAGCTTTCTCAAAAGTGAATGTCTGCTGTTCAGGTCAGTTGATGTTTAAATAGTCTCTTAATTTCTCTATTCAGTTCTGGTGTGTATAGTCTGTAATTCTGGTTCCAGGTCATTTGTTACATCACTTCCGGTTTGGTGATGATGATGATATGTCCAGGAAGAGATAGTAGCGCCATTTTGGATAAGGGCAAAAATCCAGTGAACTAAGTGATAGTGGCGCCATTTTGGATAAGGGCAAAGGTCCAGTGAGCCAAGTCTATACTTCTGGTTTCGGGTCATTCGTTACATCACTTCCGGTTTGGTGGGTGTCTCCATAATGGTGTATACAGGAAGTGATGGTAACGCCATTTTGGATAATGGCAAAAGTCCAGTAAGAAAAAGAGGAGTTAATATAAAAGTGAATTAAAACAAACAATTCAAGGTGTAATCTTGCATATTTTCTGCATATATAATTATAGAGATTATAAAAGTGCTAAATGCTGAATAGGGATCGCCGTATATCACATGTATTTACACAGCGATCTCTTCTAAATAGTACTAATATACTTTTTATAATACACTTTTTAAAGTTATGCACAATATCTTCACAAATCAATCATAAAATGTTTGGATTGTAAAATTGTACTATCATCTGTACAACAATATAGAATTTATTTTATTTTATTTTTAAATATGTTTTTTTATAATTCATTTGTGTATATAATCTTTCCCCTTTTTTAACCAAATTTCCTTTGACTGATTTATTTTATACATATATTATCTTAAAACTTTGGATTTCTATTATATACATCCAGACTAGTTCCAGTACTATTTAGAAGAGATCGCTGTGTAAATACATGTGATATAAGGCGATCCCTATTCAGCATTAAGCACTTTTATGATCTCTATAATTATATATGCAAGATTACACCTTGAATTGTTTGTTTTAATTCACTTTTATATTAACTCTTCTTTTTCTTACTGGACTTTTGCCATTATGCAAAATGGCGTTACCATCACTTCCTGTATACACCATTATGGAGACACCCACCAAACCGGAAGTGATGTAACGAATGACCCGAAACCAGAAGTATAGACTTGGTTCACTGGACTTTTGCCCTTATCCAAAATGGCACTACTATCACTTAGTTTACTGGACTTTTGCCCTTATCCAAAATGGCGCTACTATCACTTCCTGGACATATCATCATGGAGATATCCACCAAACTGGAAGTGATGTAACAAATGACCTGGAACCAGAATTACAGACTATACACACCAGAACTGAATAGAGAAATTAAGAGACTATTTAAACATCAACTGACCTGAACAGCAGACATTCACTTTTGAGAAAGCTGTAAGCAAAACATGTCAAGTGGAGATTAACCCCTTCAGGACGGGTGACGGACGATGTCCGTCACACAGGGGAGACCCTTAACGACGGGTGACGGACCTCGTCCGTCACGCGGTAAAATTAACCCCGGATCGCCGCTATTGCGGCGATCGCGGGGTTAATGGTGCTCCCGGTATGCCTCTGCATTGGAGGCATACCGGGAGCACCCGGTCAGTCTGCCCAGCACATGTGCTCGCTCTGACCACAAGTCTGAGCGAGCACATGTGCTCTCTATACTCACCTACCGGCTCCCTGCACTTCCGGGTTCTGTGTGAAGTGCAGGGAGCCGGATCAGTGCTGATCCTGCCCCCTGCTGTAAAAAATAAATAAAGTTTATTTAAAGTCCCCCCCCTTACCCATTTTAATAAAAAATTAACCCCTTCCCTGCCAATTGATCACTGACTACAGTGATCAATTGGCAGGGATTACATTTTACTATGATCTGATTTTATTTTTTTAACCCCTGAGGGTTAATTCTTTTTTTTTTAACCCTCAGGGGTTAAAGTAATTAAATTAATTAAATTATTTTTTACTTATATATTTAGATAGCTGGGGTGGGTGGAAGTTAGTGGGGAATTGGGGGATTTGGCGTTAGGCTAACTAGGGGTTAACGTTAAAAAAGTTTTAAAAGAAACTTTAAAAAGTTAAAAATTAAGTTTAAAAAAATGTTTTAATAACATTTAAGTAAAAAAAAACAAAAAAAACACACTTTACCTAGTCCAAATAAAAATTAACCCCTTCCCTGCCAGTCGATCACTGCCTACAGCGATCAAATAGAGATCACAGTATTATACTGTGATCTAATTTTTTTTTTAACCCCTGAGGATTAACTTTTTATTTATTTTTTAACCCTCAGGGGTTCAATTTATTTAATTAATTAAAATATTTTATAACTATATATTTTGCTAGCTGGGGTGGGTGGGAGTTATGGGAAAATGGGGAATTTACTGTTACTGCTGCGTACTGCTAGTTAGGGGTTAACGGTAAAAAAAAAAAGCTTAGAAAAATGTTAAATCTGTAAAAAAGTTTTAAGAAAAGTTTAGGAAAGTTTAAAAAAAATTTATAAGCAAAACAAAAGTTTAAAAACTAGTTTTTAAAAGTAAAAAAGTTATAAAAAGTAAAAAAATACATTTTAAAAAACGCTCATTACCACTACACCTGGAGCAAACTAGAGAAAAAATTATCCCACGCCAAGGTTCAAAACATGCCTTTTGAATTACCCCAGGGTGTATTCTTTAATAAATAGTATGTGTTTGTGGGGAAGTTTCAATAACCAACCGTCTAAACTACTCCAAATTGGAACATGGACACAGCGTAAAACTTCAAAGTTAGAAAAAAACTGAATGGCTTCGTCTCAAATGCGCCACTTCAACATCCACATATACCTGGCAAAGGTACATACGGGGGTATTGCTGTACTCAGCCGACATAGCTGAGCAACATATGAAGTATTATACAGTCATAGCACACATAAGGTTTGCAAAATATGCTGCGCAAACTCACTTTGTATGTCAAAAGGCAGAAAAAATGCTTATTACCACTACACTTGGTACAAGCTAGCGGAAAAATGATCCCAAGCTAAGGTTCAAAATATGCCTTTTGAAATACCCTGGGATGTCTTCTTTAAGAAATGGTATGGCTTTATGGGGAATTTGGATTATATAGCCTGGTAAAATACTCTAAAATGGGACATAGGCACAGCATAAAAATTCAAAGTTTGAAAAAACTGGAATGGCTGTGTCCCAAATGTGCCCCTCCGATGTCCACATATACCTGGCAAAGGTACATACGGGGGTATTGCTGTACTCAGCCAACATAGCTGAGCAACATATGAAGTATTATACAGTGGTAGCACACATAAGGTTTGCAAAATATACTGTGCAAACTCACTTTGTATGTCAAAAGGCAGAAAAAACGCTTATTACCACTACATCTGGTACAAGCTAGCGGAAAAATGATCCCACGCTAAGGTTCAAACTATACCTTTTGAAACACCCTGGGGTGTCTACTTTAAGAAATGGTAGGCCTTTGTGGGGTAGTTTTAATTTAAAACCTGCGAAGATGCTTGGAAATTGCACATAGGCCCAGCGTCAAAATTCAAAGTTTGGTAAAAACGGATATGGCTTGGTCTCCTATATGGCACTGTAGCTTCACGAAATAGTGCCAAAGACATTCATATGGGGTGCCATTTTACTCAGAAGACTTAGCTGAGCATAATTTGGGGAGTTTGAACTTAGTGGCACATATGAAATATACAAAACGCCCAGCAAAAATGCAATCCGTATGTAAAAAATGCACAAAATTATTTTTTACCACATACTTTGGCATATATTGGTGAAAAAATGGGGGCATGTTAAGGCACAGACATACAATGGGGGTGTCATTTTACTCAGCAGATGTAACTGAACACAAAATAAAACTTTGTACAGGAATAGCACACACCAACTTTACAAAATATACACGAGAATTTCTCTGTTATAAGTTTGTGTGCCAAAAACCAAAAAGAACACAGTTTTACTCCAATATTTAGCAGAGGTTGGCGGTGAAATGGCTACGTAGAAAGTGTCAAAACAACCTTAGGTAAATAGCCTGTGATGTCTACTTTATATAAATATATACTTTTGTGTGGCAAACATACCAAATTCTAAAATCGCTCCACATTAAAAGTTTATTTTACTCCTTTTGCTTTGTGACCTGTAACTACCAAAAAAAACTTAAAATCCCAGACACATTATATATTCTGTAAATCAGAACAAATAAATAAATTTATTTTTAATTACTTTCCTTAACCTGCACTAATTATGCACACATTATTATTGCAAAAACTGTAAAAAAACCAATATTTTTCATTTTTTTTTGCATTTTTCTGTATTTTTTTTATAATAAGTAAGCATTTATATATATATATGTTATATCAAATTAAAACCCTTTCTGTCCTTTAAAAAACAGTATATAATATGTGTCGGTGCAATAAATGAGAGAGATGCAAATTGCAGTTGAACGCAAACAGCAAGAAAATGCAAAAATTGCTTGTGTCATTAAGCGTAAGTCAAGCTTCTGAAGCTGTGTCCTTAAGGGATTAAGGATTGCCTACAAGGACTGGTTTTATTTATAGTTCTTTTTACTATATAGTTCACTTTTAAATAGTTTTATTCATTCTGTTTATTAATAAAGATTCTGTTTTAATACCAGTCACTCTTGAGCTCCTTATACTCTCACCATCACTCTGCTGTTCCGGACTACATATATCCCTAGGTGGGGATTGTTCCACCTAAAAGCTCCATACACTAGAGCAGGTCATTGCTCTAGCAAATGTAAGTAGGTCAAATATTTACTTTTCCTACTTTTACATACGTACTGTACCATTGGTATACATCCTTATTTTTTTCACATGATGAACCACACTTCCTTGGGAATCTAATACCAGCAAAAAGAAGTCCTTAGATGGGGATTGTTCCGTCCAGGCTCCTAAAATAGAGCTTTTTAAAAGGACCACTCTAGGCACCCAGACCACTTCAGCTTAATGAAGTGGTCTGGGTGCCAGGTCCCTCTAGGATTAACCCCCCCCCCTTTTTTTTTTTTTTTTAAATAAACATAGGCATTTCAGAGAAACGGCTATGTTTATAATAGGGTTAATCCAGCCTCTAAAGCCTCTAGTGGCTGTCTCATTGACAGCCGCTAGAGGCGTCTGCGTGCTTCTCACTGTGAAAATCACAGTGAGAAGGCGTCAGCGTCCATAGGAAAGCATTGTGAATGCTTTCCTATGAGACCGGCTGAATGCGCGCGCAGCTCCTGCCGAAGAGGAGGATCGGAGGCGGAGAGCTCCCCGCCCGGCGCTGGAAAAAAGGTAAGGTTAACCCCTTTCCTCTTATTTATGTTTACACAGATCATCTTCTGTGTTTTTGTCAGCACAAGCGGGTGTATTTGGATCGTTGAACTGTCCCCATAGCGAGGCGTTGCGTGGTGATGTAATGACATCAGTGCAGCCCACGCAAGTCCTGGCAGCAGTTATATCATCACAGTGTGTTGCAAGTATTTGTATTTGTTGGGTAAATATGGGGGGGGGGTTGTTATCTATGTATGCCTGATGAATATTTGTGGGTATCAAAAATAAAATAAAATAAATAAATAAAAAAACACCACACACGTTTCGTAAGTGTTGCACGAAAACTAAGTAACATAACATAATATTAACATATTTAAATTGTCGTCATTTTAATTCAATGGACCTCATCAAAAAATATTTGCAGATACCACCAATTTTACTGTTACAAAGGGACAAAAAGCAAAAAGAAAAAAAAAATGTGGGCAGCGCTATCAATTGGACTTTCATTGAGAAAGGGGAGATTTTGGAAACGTTTGTACTTTCTGTTCTTCAATAAACATTTATGTAGCAGTTAGTGTGCACATCTGCAATTGATAGCGCTGTCCTAATTTTCTCTTTTTGCTTTTAGCATATACTTTGTTTACATTGTAATGATGATATTTTACATAAATGACAATTTAAATACATTTTTTTGGCCAAATTACCATTTAGTCATCATCGTCATCATCCTCTGGAACAAAGATATCATGTTCTTCCAGCAATGCAGCAAAGTTCTTGCTGATGAGTGTTCCTACGTATAAAAAGGGTATCACCACCGAAATCACCCTAAGAAGACCAAAACTCACCTGGAAGAGAAAGATGCAAACATTTAGTGTACATACACATGCATACATATGTGTATTTTCAAACTCCGAACTGCACAGGCGGTGAGGTCAAACAAGCAATCTAAGAGCAATGAGTAGTAATGCATGGATCATAACAAATCAGTGTGGCTCACTGATTGCGGAGGCAGCGAGGGAGCTGTGATCTTCCTGCTCACACACTCACAAACTATCAGGGTGCACGAGGAAGCAGAGCAGGTTGATGGCAGCTCCGTCCCTCGCCACCTAAACATTCAGTCAGCTTACTGCCTGCTTTAGCCCTCCATTAGCCTTGGGAGCTGGATGCAAATATCCTGGGCGCCAGGCCATGGCAATGCAATGTATGATCATATACTGTAACTAAGTCTCCATTTGTCCTTGTCCTGGGATTTGTGAGCCCGTTCAGCCCCTGAGGTGACCAGCTGCCTGAGATAGAAGGCATGGAGAGCGTAGGTGGCTGGGCGGGCAGAAGCATGAATAGCTGAGGGAGGCAGGCCTCGCGCGCGCCCTGCAGTGATGATGGCAGCGGGAATGTGACGTAATTCTGGTCCCGGATTACGAAACAGCAAGCTTTGAGCAGGGAGATTATCAGCACAGCCACACTGGACCCTAGTTCTCTCAAAACGCAGGGAGGCCGGGTGAGCAAATTTAAATAAAATAAAATTGTAACTTGTGTGTGTCTGTGTCAGCGAGTGTGTGTTTAGGTGACCTGCCTCCATCCATCACATGAGAGAGATGCTTTTACTCACCCTTTTTCCATCTGGCGGTCTTGCCATAGCAGAGATCATCAGTCTTGACAATCTCAGCTGATCCAATGCTTTCCCATAAGAAAGCATTTGGAGACTATTGTGTATGCGCAGCAAAACACATTGCACCATTCAACATCTCATAGAGTTGCATTGAATCAAAGCACCCCTATGGGGAGCATTAAGTGTCTCATTGAAATTGCCAGATGTTGCCTTTAAGATCATATAGAAGCCCAGGAATGCAAATTTTCACACCATGCTGCTCTCGTCACGGCCTGCCGCACCTCCATGGCGGCGTTCAATAATTTTTATGATCTCAGGCAATGAAATAAAAATTATTGAACGCCGCCATGGAGGTGCGGCAGGCCGTGACGAGAGCAGCATGGTGTGAAAATTTGCATTCCTGGGCTTCTATATGCCTGAGATAGAAGGCATGGAGAGCGTAGGTGGCTGGGCGGGCAGAAGCATGAATAGCTGAGGGAGGCAGGCCTCGCGCGCGCCCTGCAGTGATGATGGCAGTGGGAATGTGACGTAATTCTGGGCCCGGATTACGAAACAGCAAGCGTTGAGCAGGGAGATTATCAGCACAGCCACACTGGACCCTAGTTCTCTCAAAACGCAGGGAGGCCGGGTGAGCAAATTTAAATAAAATAAAATTGTAACTTGTGTGTGTCTGTGTCAGCGAGTGTGTGTTTAGGTGACCTGCCTCCATCCATCACATGAGAGAGATGCTTTTACTCACCCTTTTTCCATCTGGCGGTCTTGCCATAGCAGAGATCATCAGTCTTGACAATCTCAGCTGATCCAACGCTTTCCCATAAGAAAGCATTTGGAGACTATTGTGTATGCGCAGCAAAACACATTGCACCATTCAACATCTCATAGAGATGCATTGAATCAAAGCACCCCTATGGGGAGCATTAAGTGTCTCATTGAAATTGCCAGATGTTGAATTTAAGATCATATAGAAGCCCAGGAATGCAAATTTTCACACCATGCTGCTCTCGTCACGGCCTGCCGCACCTCCATGGCGGCGTTCAATAATTTTTTATGATCTCAGCCAATCCAATGCTTCCACCTCATGGGGAGCATTAAGCACCTCCATGCAGAGCAACAGTGTGCAGCACTTACCCAGGAAGTGCCTCTAGAGGCAGTTACTAGGCAGCAATGTAAACATGCCTTTTGTCTGAAAAGACATTGTTTACATTGACAATGCTGCACTGACAGGCTAAAGGCTTAAGAATAACTACATTAAAGGACCACTCTAGGCACCCAGACCACTTCAGCTTAATGAAGTGGTCTGGGTGCCAGGTCCTTCTAGGGTTAACCCATTTTTTTTTTTTTTATAAACATAGCAGTTTCAGAGAAACTGCTATGTTTATGAATGGGTTAAGCCTTCCCCCTAATCCTCTAGTGGTTGTCTCATTGACAGCCACTAGAGGCGCTTGCGTGCTTCTCACTGTGATTTTCACAGTGAGAGCACGCAAGCGTCCATAGGAAAGCATTGCAAATGCTTTCCTATGCGACGGGCTGAATGCGCGCGCAGCTCTTGCCGCGCGTGCGCATTCAGCCCAGGAGGAGGAGAGAAGGAGGAGAGCTCCCCGCCCAGCGCTGGAAAAAGGTAAGTTTTTAACCCTTTCCCCCTTCCAGAGCCGGGCGGGAGGGGGACCCTGAGGGTGGGGGCACCCTCAGGGCACTATAGTGCCAGGAAAACGAGTGTGTTTTCCTGGCACTATAGTGGTCCTTTAAGCTGTAGTGGTTTTGGTAACTATAGTGTCCCTTTAGGAATTGTATTTTTGCACTTGAAAATCCAGTCTCCTAATTTGTTTAGTTGACTCCAAACAAATTTGTTAAGCCCTGGCATAATGCTGCCACAATGTCAATATTTTCCATACTTGGCAGGGGCTACTCTAGCAACATTGACATCCAGGCCAACTCCCTGATTTTGCACCCCTACCTGTCACAGGTGCATCATTCAAGGTAAGATAGCTATATATTTTTTTATTTTTCAGCAGTTGGGGGACTGCTTGACAGCCCAGGCAATCCACCTGCAGGCAGATGTATGGCCAGCTATTGCTGATCACAGTGGTCTGATTTGCCGCAGGGTGACTGCCTGGGCAGGCAGCTTTAAAGGACCACTATAGTGCCAGGAAAACTCTAGGGGGAGGAAGGGGTTAAACACTTACCTTTCTCCAGCGCTGGGTAACACTCCTACTCCTTCCGACGTTATCGGCTGAATGCGCATGCGCGGCAAGGGCAGTCAGTCTATAGGAAAGCATTCTCAATGCTTTTCTATGGATGCTGGTGTCTTCTCACTGTGAAACAGCCTCTAGAGGCTGGATGAACCCATATGTAAACATAGCAGTTTCAGCAGGCAGGGTTAACCCTAGATGGACCAGGCACCCAGACCACTTCATTAAGTGGAAGTGGTCTGGGTGCCTATAGTGGTCCTTTAAGGGTTTAAACGCACAACTTTATATTTTCATTTCTCTCCCATCCTTATAACTTTCTATTTCAACTACACTCATAGAATATGTATCATTATTCCTTATTTCATACATCACAAACTATCCTTTAGCCCCCCACTCCCCTATATATGTAACCCCCATCTATTCTGTAAAGGAAGGTAGGTGGTTGTTGTAGTGGGCAGTCTGTGGTAGTTATTCAGTGTGTACACAGGTAGCAGCATGTCTTCCCCCAGCTCTCTCCCCATACAGGGCAATACAGGGGCAGGATGGCGATTAGTGCTGACTCAGCTCGCTGCATTGCGGCTTGCCGGACACGTTTCGGGCGGTCAGTAGCGAGCTGCTGTTCGGTAGTGGCCGGCTCGGTTATAGGGGACTACCAGCAATCCGGCACTCGGTGTGACATGGAGTCCGTGACCAGCCAAGCCGCTCTGACTGAGCCCCAGGCTGGTGACAGTCATATAATAAGGGACTTACTTTGTCCGGCTTCGGTAGAAAGGCCCCGTTGCTGGTGGTAATGACCGTCCGCCGAGCCGTGCCAGTAATTGCCGGTGATTTCCGGTTAACCAGCAGACATTTCTTCACCCTAACTGCCGCTCTGAGATTCACTAACGACAAAACACCAATGTTCGCCGCCATGTTGGTGAAGGGAGGATACGCTGTTATATTTTTTTTTTTTTTTGAGTTCTACACACTAAAGCTTCAATGCCTCACTTCCTTACTTGTCATCTCCATAGCCAGCTCATTACCAAAGATGAGAAAAGGGCGATACGGTCGCTGTCTTTCCGGGTCAAGGGTTAACTCCGCCCATCTAGCCACCAATTGGTATACACCCTCCAAAGTGTCATATCAGCTGCTGCTCAGCCTAACTTGTCTGCTGCAGTTGGTGTTTGTGAAACTGGCTAACCATGCCCCCATGACGCTGACAGGGTTACAGTTTCGGCACCTAAGTGCTTAAACTATGTATGTGCAATGCACCTTAACAAAAATTCGGCACATACATATGCATCGTGACTACATCCATGATTTTAAGTGGTCATGGTGCCAAGGCAGTGTGTATGTGCAGAATTTTTGTTTACATGCGTTGCACAGATAGAGTTTAGGCGCCGAAGCTGTAACGCCGTCAGCATCATGGGGGCACAGTTAGCCAGCCGGAACGAGAGTTCCAGGATGTCAATTCTGTGCAAAAGTTGTTGCACATTTTTTCCAGTCATTGGCCGAGAGTGGTCAGCTGATGCTCTCAGCAAATGAATGGTGACTGGATCTGCTCCAGCAGCTCTGCAGAAACTAGTGGAGCCTGGCAGGGAACATAGTAAGAGGGCATACCATTGCTAAATGGTTTATTCCATTCCTAGGGAACAACAAGCTTTAGTGATTAGGACACTTGCAGTAACCCTTTAAGTTAAATGTAAATAACTTTTGATACATGAAAATTTGCTGGCAGTTGTACTGTAAAGGAAGGAGGTATATTTTGCGACTGTCACAATGATTAAAGCGGATCTGTCAATTTCAGGGGGGTCCTTTGCGGTCATATCGCAGAAATCCAATGAAACAGATAAATATTAATTCCCCCTTCCCTGTTAACTTGTAGTGAGGGGGGTAATGCTAATCTCTTGTGGTCCAGTACGTTGCGAATCTGGTCTGTCTTTTCACCGGGTGCAGACTATGAGTAACTGTCTCGCATGCTCAGGCATTTACAGTGTCAGAGTTTTCCTCTGGTAATTCGCAGCAAAGCATTGATTGGCCGCAGCGCAGAAGACGGCTACTTATGATCTGCAGCCAACAAAAGTGCAGGCCAGAGGTGCCAGACTGACTCCATTGCATTACAGAGTGGAAGACTTAAGTATGTCACATAATACTGTGACACACAGTTACAGGCAGACAGTCACACACAATTCAGTTATAGGTAGACAGTCATACACACACACACTCAGTTGCAGGCATACAGCCACACATAGTTACAAGCAGACAGTCACACACGCTCAGTTACAGGCAAACAGTCACATACTCTGGCAGAAAGTCACACACACAGGCAGACAGTCACATACACAGTTACCACTTCCCATTATGGGCTGGAAGGGGGGAGTAGAGGCAGTGCAGCTCCTGTAGTCTAGTTGTGCAGCAGTTGCCAGCCATCAGCTTCCAGGTGCTTTTAGCTCTGCCCCTGCTGTTTAGCCCTGCCTCCGTCACTCAATAAGTTCCGCACCACCACTCGGTATGGTCCGCCCCGCTGCCTTGCTATTTTTTTTTCATAGTCCCGGGTAGAGAATAATGAGATCCTCAACCCAGTACCTGCTTTAGCTCCCTCTGCACACCTGTCACCCGGCCATGTGTGAGCTGTGTAGGTCGCATGGCCCCCCTGTTGCCATGGTGCCCTGTGCGGCCGCCAAGTTTGCATACCACTATGGCCAGCCCTGCTTGAACATATGTATTCCTTTTAAAAATAGGAATTAAAAAAAAAAAAATTACAAACCTACTTGTGTGTTGTGGTGGATGTTGTGGTTTATCCCACTAGAGGGAGTCACTAATTTGCACCACCTTTTTATTTGCCCTTTACCTCCATTCATAAAATTGCAGCCCCAGATTTATTCTTGTGCTGGGATTTGCCAGCTGCACAGCACCGATCTCACTATAATTGGCTGAGAAACAGGACTCAATTCAAGTAATTATGAAAACAGCCAGTGGATGGTGGTCACAGACCACTATCTACTTTGTTAAATAATAAAACCTATTTCTAATATCAGAATCGATATTAGCAGTGGATTATCTTAGTGTCGGGGCTAGTGGTCAGGTTAGATTTAGGGGTAAGCTGATGGGTTATGGATAGTGAAGGGTTAAGGGTAAGATTAGGGCAGGCATAAAGATAGAGAAAGTGTAAGCACTGGATAAGGGTATGGTTAGCATAGCGTTAGTGTGGGGCTTGGTATAGGGTTAATGTGAACTATCAAAAATTTATTTCGTTTCTAGACATATTAGGCATTTAACAATCAGGACTGATATATGAATCTATGTTGCGTTCTTTTTGGTTAGATGTGTAAAAATTATTAGAAGCAAAAAATTTCCAATATTTCCCATTTTTAATATTTTATTCACATGCAGTCTTGTGTAAGGAATACATATAGAATAGTAAATGAAAGCCCTTTCTGTCCCTTAGAAAATAATATATAATTGTGTGACAGAAGACCCCATCACTTGTTTTATTCCTCTCTAACCCAACAGACTTGGTCCCTTCTCCATTCGGCTGTCTGTACCCAATGTTCATTTCCCGAATGGATATTCGTGTTCTCCTTTTTAAACCCCTCTAATCCAGAACACCCCCTGGCTCAATAACTTCAAAAGAAGTAGTAAACTTATATGCTCTCTCTGAAAGGCCGCCATTTGTATGAACGAACACATGTGCATTATGGAATAGCGGCCATCTTGTCTGCCAAACACAGGCAGTTGTAATTCCAGATAATACAACTTGCGAACCCCGATTAAATTGTACCGCCGTCTGCTCCTCTCACAGACAAACGAGAAGAGCGCTCTTTGGGGAAAAGAATCAATCATCCGAAGGCAGCATTCGCTCCCTAAGAGCTAGGGAGAGCATTCGGTTTTATTCTCACAGGAGCTCCCGAAAGTTGACTGGCCACTGCCTCTTTCTCCCTGGAACTGTTGTGGGCTACAACCTCGTGGCCGGCCAGAACTTTACTTCTTACACTGAACGGATCTGAGCACTATTTAGACAACTTGGGGGTCAGATCCAGGCTATTCTAGGATTTAGGATATATAGGGTTCCTGTGTAATTTGAATGTGGTTTGGGGGTTTTTGTTTGTAAATTCTGTATGTTTCCCTGTAACTGAGCGATAATTGAGTTACCAGGCTTTGACTTAATTATCTCCCAGACACAGGGATGCCTGGAAGGAGCTTATTCTGTTCTGTATGGAGACCCCATGCTAGGGGGGGTTGTATGAATTATGTGAATAAACCAGATCTTCTCCCAACATTAAGTCTCGACTAATGTATGGGGGGGAAACTATACCAGCTATAACCACTACTGCAGACTGGACTTTGAATGGTACACAAACCCATTAGCTAAATGTGATTTCAAAGGTTTGAAATCTGACCAATATTATACAGGCATTACATTTTTTTTTATTAATTTAAATGAAATGAAATTAAGCCAGCATATTTACCAGCTTACTTGGTAGAAATGGTTTGGGCTTGGATATATATTCCATAAATGGTGAATGTGAGTATGTTTTTCTGATGGAGAATTGTGGAAAGTTCTGGAAGATTTCTAAGTCAGAATTAATTTGATTAGCAGAGAACTTCAGTTGGAAAGTAGCAGAGTGTTAGTGTCACGGGAGATGGCTTTGCATCGTCTAATGTTTCCCTGCTTTCAAATGGAATTGTTTCCCTTCTGTTCAGTTACCGAACAGATCCCTTGTTCGCAAATCATGTTTAGGCTTGATTGGAAGATTGTGCTTGTTCTATTCTGAACGTGATCAGGGTGAGGCTTGAGTATTGATCTGTGGATAGGTAGTAATGTCTCTTTTTGATATGAAATTGGAACACAAGGCTTGTTCATATCACAGGACTCCTTATCTAAGAGGGAATCAAGACATATGGCAAATGAGAGAGTTAGTTTATACTGAAACCAGACTTATGTGTGACTTCTCACACTTTAAAGAGTAGCTCTGCTGGGTTCCCAACTTCAAAGAATTTAGATTGTAAGCTCTGACCTCCCATACAATCAAATTAACCCCTTTCAAAATTGACAATACCACCTCTACCAGGCATAACTTTCGTTTTACCGTACGGATCTGAGCGCTTTTTGGATATGTTATGCACTCAGATCGGAGCTATTCGGAATTTATTTTTGTGGGGTTCCAATGCTGTTGTCATGTATTTTTGTGATATGTAAAAATTGTATGTAAGTTTTCCGATTTGAGCTCAATTATCTCTCAAACACAATGGCTTGTGGGAAGGAAACCCCTGTGATTTTGTATTGGAAACCCAATGCTAGGGGCACTGTATAAAAAGCAGAGTGTGGCCTAATAAAGTTCAGATTGCTGCTTTTACCCAATACGACTGGTTGTGTCCATTATTTGGGAAACTCTACACAAGGGGAATACTTTCACTATATTCAGCACATCTGGAATGAGGACTAGTGGAGGATTGAAGGAATAACACCAATAGACTCACAAACTCGTGACGGTTAGGTTTTCGAAGTCCCAGAAATTCAGTTGGAAAAGACAGAAGTTTAGATGTCTCTGAAGAAGTGGGGCCACTTCCCCACGAAACGCGTAAGACAATAGACATTAAGTCAAATCCTGTCAGCAACCAGCAACAGAAGTATCTTGTGTTCAGGACCTTTGGTTGAACCCGTGGACTTAGACCCTCAGCTGTGTACGTCCCCCGGAGTGAGGTCTGTGTTGGGACGTGCATACCGATCTGTACGCCGTCCTCAACCGGCAGTCAGACTCCAGGGTATCAACTGCCAGCTCAATCTACATCCATCCTGGCTGATTCCGAGGGTCTTTGAATTTTTGTGGACTTCACCAGACTGGTAACATATATCTCTATATGGACTGACCTGTATTTCTTGATGAAATTTTAATTTTGTATTTTTTAATAAACTGGATTCTATTTCTTAACCCAGTTCTTTTTTCACCATTGCTTATATTTATCTACGCTATATACTTTTTGTCATAGCACACAGTTCCTCATACTGTAGTGCTTTATTATTATTTGTATCTTTGTTAATACAAAGTATATCATTTAGGTGTAAGTATCTATTATCTGTTACCCTGTATCCTTTCAGGGACAGTTTGTTACTGCACCTTTCATGATTTGGAACATTA